TTCCTTTTATTTCCTCCATTCCTTGCTCCCTCCCTCCCTCCTATTCATTCATTCATTTTTTCATTCTTTTCAGGAAGTCGGCTGAACAAAGACCTGAGACATTTTCTCAACCAGAGATTTCAGAAAGGATCTCCAGATCATGAGCTTCAGCAAACTATTAGAGATAACCTTTATCGCCATGCTGTGCCTTGTAAGTAATTAACATCTCTATTATATTTGCCATAACAAAATGTAAGTTCTGTTTAGGGGTGTCCTTTTAATCTCAGATAATGGCACTGCTGTTGGAAGTTGTTTTCTTTTTTTCTTTTTTGTAAGATGATTATTCCCATGTTGGTGAGAAAATATTAAGTTTGCTTTCCCAGTAGATTTGTTACATCAAGAAGCAAGAAAGTATGGATGGCATACAGAATGTTCCAGATATAATCGCTGATACCATGGTGACTTAGACTCTAAACGATTGCAGTTATCCTATTTTTGGCATGTAGCAACCGGCCCAGTTTTGACTGGAATTTACACCATTTGTTGTTGTTGTTGATAGAAACCTGTATTTGGGATTGCTTAACAACCACTGCAGAAAAGGTAATAAAATCAGTTCTGATCATGTGATAACCCACGTTAGGACCATCAGTACTTAGGATCATATTTGTGGGGCTTAATTTCAGTTGTAATTTGAGGTCTCTGTTCTGATCTAGGCTTCCTGATACAGTAAAACACACACAATTAAGTCCAAAAACCCTCTTTTTATTTCAAAGGCTGTGAATTATATTCATTCACAGCCCATAATGAGTTCCAAATAATAGTAAAGAGTTCTAAGCAGGCTGCCAATGTCCTTCGGGATAAGGCTGATAAGCACCCACCTTTATCTTCTTTGAAAATGCTGGTAAAGACTTAATTGGCAATTAGTTTGGCAAGGCCAAACAAAGAGTCCAAACGTATTTTCAGAAGGTAAACTGACCAGCATGAACCAAGTTGCTTCCTGTAAAGGCTCATGTTGCTCCTCTTTTATGTCGTATGGGAGGTGCCAATCACCTCCAAACCGTACTCTCGAGTTGTTCCTTCTATTTTAACTCTTCTTACCTTCTGGGACCTCTGTGCATGCATGCACTGGGCACGGGGGGGGGGGGGGGGCAACGCCGGGCCTGTTCCAACCGTACTGGTTGGAACGGGATCCAGAACCCACTACTGCCGCAGAGAGGGGGGGGGGGGCTGTTCCTCTGCCTCCCTGCTTTCCGACTCTGGAGGCTCCTGATCACTGCCAGACAGCCTCAGCCCTATCTCTGCCTCCGACGCAGAGCCCTCGTCAAGCCTTCCCCAGACTCCAGGACTGGCCCATGTTCCTCCCCAACCTCCTCACTATCTAACTGGGTTGCAAGCTACACAGGCTGGAGTTGGATCACAACAGACTCTTCATATTTCCCTTTAATTTTCTCATCGATAATTACCTATATTTTCCTTTCATTTTCTTCTCTTGTTCCCTAATTTAATTGACTTACTATTTATGTTTCCAATGTTATTCTTTGTATAACGTTACTTATCCTGAAAGGGAATAGCATGGTGCATTTGTGTGTGTGTATACTAGAACTTCAGTCCTAATACATCTGGAAGGCAGTAGGTTGGGAAGGGCTGCATGAAAATGTATGCAAGGAAATGTCTGCTCTTTTAAATCCTTTGTATATGTATATCTCTTGCTGACTTCCTGGAGAACATTTCTTTTCCTTTCCAATTTCAGAAACGACAAATAAAGCAAAAGAGGCTAAGTTTTCTGTTGGTTCATTTTTTTTCCTGCGTTGCCAAGGTTACATTTTGAAACGCTTCTGATCTGATTCTTTTCTGTGATTTATTGGGCATGGCTAGGAGCTAAACTACTTTTGGTTGCTTTTAAATCTCACCCAGGGCCACGATTATAGAAATAGATTTGTGTTTGCATGTTGGATGGGGATTGGAAAAAGGGACCCGTGCTATTTTATTCCCACCCCTCCCCAAAACAGGAAAAGGAGTTAATGATGCTGAACAAGAAACATTTCAGTGTTTCCCATGAATATGAATGCATGCATTTGTAGCTCACTTCTAGGGAGGAGAAGTAATAGACATTTAATGCTACCTTGACTGAGCTACTTGTCAAATATTATCCTGTCTTTCCTGTCTTCCTTTTCTTTACAAGGTTCGGCTGTGGTAAACATGCTTAGGCTTGTATTAGACTAAAGCTCCTATAGTATACGTAGGATTGTCTGCAGCTGGGAGTTTGTGGGAGATGGAAAAAAGAGAAGGAAGAGAGGGATTTTTCTTCGAGGTTGAAGATTAATCTGGCTGCATACTATTTTTGTTTTAATTCTTTGATACATGTGACCAGAAAATCCAGTGCTCTGGGCCAGTCTCTTCTATTGCTAGTGGATTATGAGGTTGAGCATTTTTGAAATGGAATTCCCTGCTGATTATGGAGTAAACATGTCAAAGGCTCACAAGGTCGCTTGCACCAAGCAGACCTTGGTTGCCTGCTGATTGTTATTGCTGCAACCAGAGGTCTTATGGAATTGATGATTAATGGCCCAGAATATGTAGAGCAGCCTCTTGCCTCAGCATCCTGGGTGAATTTCGTTAGAAATCCGTGCATTTGAATCTAATAATGCAGTTGCATGTTGTGCAGCCACATTAAAAAACATATCAGTTTAATAAAAGGATTCTACCAGAGGAATCTCGCTGGGTGTAGGCACCACCTGGTGCAATGGTAATTTTATCTAGAAGACCTGTAATTAGGCTTTACACTCCCCCCCAAATAGGAAGAACTTGCTTGGAACAAAGAGCTAATATCAGAGTTGGACAGCCACAGATATTCTGTATTATATAAGCAGTTGGCTTGCTGATGATGAGATGCGGAGATAATTCCCGGGAGATAGTTAATACCTTGTTGTGGGAAGAGATGTAAGCACTGATCCTGAAGAGATGTAAGCACTGATCTGGTGTGGTTACAACTTAATAGGCTCTTTCTCGATTGGGACATACTAGACTACTATTGCCCAGTCTCCAACCTTTTAGGGAAGGTTTATGGAAGCAGGGTGGCATCAACTACCCAGCACCTAAAGAAAATATATTACGTTGCCTTCAGGGTTCAAAGCCAGACATGGAAAGGAGGCAGCATTGGTTGCACTACTAGTGGAAGACCTTCATTGGGTCATGGATGGAGAAAGTATGTTCATCTCGGGCTTTTTAGGTCTCAGTGGGTTTTCATACTACTGGTTTATTTATTTATATTACTAATTTGATTTATATAGCCATCCATCTGGGGCTCTAGGTAGTCCTTATAAAAAATAGATAAAATACGTAGTATAAAAAATAAAACACAAAGCAACCAAGCGCTATCAAACAACTATCAACATAGCTAGGAAACTGGTTCTGTCACACACCCAAGTCTTAGGTCTCCCTCCAGATCTGGCAATATAGTTCTCCCACTGTCACCTTGACAACCCGAAAGCTAGGCAGGGTCCTTCTGAGCCTTTAGCTCCTTCCACTAAGGAGCTGCAGGCTACTCTACCTCTTATATGACCACTACCTAGACTGCATCTCTTTGCTCCATGTCCCAAGGTGATTCTCAGAAACCACTATAGGTGTCAGATTGTCAGATCCCAGTGCCATTAACTGCCTGCCCCACCATGTTTTGTACCAGTTGAAGCTTCCAATAAGGGCAGGAATGACCATGAGCAGGAACCCTTGTACAGGGAGAGGTGCAACTATACATAACACTCTGCAAATTTCTAGAACAGGAGCTATGAATCCAAGAAGATTCATGATTGAGTACCTGATCAATTTGAATTGGAAGTACCCTATTCAGAATGAAAGAGGGAAGGTCTCCTGAACCATTTGGTTTTGCTTGGGTTAAATCAAAGCCCATTGTGGCCCATTCAGAAATGCATATACTCCAAGCACTGAGATAGAACCTCCCTAGCATCTCTCTGGCAGTCTAGGATGGAGATAGAAAGTTGAGAGGTCCTTGGTGCTCTCTGAGCTTTATGGTTTTCTTGCAGATGTTTCCTTACCCAAACTAGGTAACATCATCAATGCTAGTCAACACCATCCCTCAGCTACAAATATTCTCTTTGTAGATATAAAGTTGAATATTATCACCATGTTGATTGTATCTCACTCCAAGCCATCAGATGAACTCATCCAGCATCTTTATGTAGATGTTAAATAGGAGAGGAGAAAGTCTCCTACAGCACCTGAAAAGGATGGACCTCTCCACCCCCCGCCCCTCATCACTAACTGGAGCCACAGAGGAAGAAGAAGAATCAACACAATCCTATGCTGTCCACCTGCAACTTGTAGAGCTGGCTCAGAAGGATACTATGATCACTCTGCCCAGCTTACTCTGCTCATCATTGTCTTTGCCTGCCTTCCTTTCATTGGGTTCATCGCAGTCATGTCTGGGGTAGGACCACAGAAATATCCCATAGGCCATTAGGTGAAAATTACAGGCAAGCAAGTGTGTGTTGCAGTAGTGGGTGGATTCCTACCAGTTTGGCCTGTTTCAGCCGAACCAGTACTGGTATGGCAGCCTGGGTCACTGGAACCAGCAGCAACCCAGGCCTGGCACTCCTCCGAATGGGTTCCCTGGTCTCTTCTGCCATCGTCACAGTATGTTTCTGTGCATGCGCAGCAACATATGGTGGGCATGCAAAGCGAACAGCGTGCACGCAAAATGCCCTCTCAGTGAACCGATAGTAAGCCAGTAGTAAACCGGTTAGGAACCCACCACTAGTGTGTTGGCTATGTAGCACTATTGGCCAAGTTCTTCTTTCTTACACTGGCTAGGCTTCCTTTTGTGCACTTCCTTTTATGCAGCTGGGGGCTTCTTTTTTGATATATAGGCAATATATAGGTGTATCAAGAAAAAAATGAACACCAAAAGCAATACAAAATTTTAGTTTTAGCCCCATCTTTATTTAGTCTATTCTACTTTACCATTCAAAGAGGAAGTGTTTAAAAGTGCCCTACGAAATCTGGTCCCCTCCAACCCCCTCCCCAAAGCACATGAACTATAACTAAAATTTAGCAGCACCAAAACTGAATAAGAGAAATCTACAGCTAGCAGTAAATAAGTAAGCATTATTGCACTCCCGTGTGAGTTTCACAGACGCCCTGTACAGTAGGAATAAAAAGAAAAATAAACAGGAAGGATGCGAGATGGGCTGAGAG